TTACCCGACGAACTGTTAATTGGTTGTATTTTGGAAGGCGGTAAGATGTGCTGTGTCGTACTGTCAGTCTTGCTCGGAACGACACTAGCATTCAAATGCGATAGTTCAATCTTGGTGATTGACCCTACTTGGAAATTGTATAATAAAATTTATAATGTACACGATTGCGATGTTGAAGAATTAGCTTTATAAAATAATTATAGTTCTACTTACCCGACGAACTGTTAATTGGTTGTATTTTGGAAGGCGGTAAGATGTGCTGTGTCGTACTGTCAGTCTTGCTCGGAACGACACTAGCATTCAAATGCGATACTCCAATCTTAGTGATTGACCCTACTTGGAAATTGTATAAAAAAATTTATAATGTACACGATTGCGATGTTGAAAATTTAGTTTTATTAAAAAATTATAGCTCTACTTACCTGACGAATTGGTAATGGGTTGTGATTCAGTCGGCGGTAGAATGTGTTGCGTAGTAGCAGTCGGATGCGATGTTTTATTTAAAGTGACAGACGCTACTTCGGAAATATATAATTCGATTTATAATGTACACGATTGCGATGTTAAAGATTTAGCATTATAAAATAATTATAGTTCTACTTACCCGACGAACTGTTAATTGGTTGTATTTTGGAAGGCGGTAAGATGTGCTGTGTCGTACTGTCAGTCTTGCTCGGAACGACATCAGCATTCAGATGCGATATTCTAGGCTTCTTGATTGACCCTGCTTGGGAATTGTATAATACAATTTATAATGTACTCGATTGCGATGTTGAAAATTTAGTTTCATAGTACAATTATAGTTCTACTTACCTGACAAATTAGTAATGGGTTGTGATACGGCCGGCGGTAGAATGTGTTGCGTACTAGCAGTCGGATACGATGTTTCAGTCAAAGTGACAGACGCTAATTCGGAAATGTATAATTAGCTTTATAATGTACATGATTGCGATGTTGAAGATTTAGCTTTATAAAATAATTATAGTTGTACTTACCCGACGAACTGGTAATTGGTTGTATTTTGGCCGGCGGTAAGATGTGCTGTGTCGTACTGTCAGTCTTGCTCGGAACGACACTAGCATTCAAATGCGATATTCCAATCTTGGTGAATGACCCTACTTGGGAAATGTATAATTAAATTTATAATGTACACGATTGCGATGTTCAAAATTTAGTTTTATAAAACAATTATAATTCTACTTACCTGAAGAATTGGTAATTAGTTGTATTCTGGCCGGCGGTAAGATGCCCTGTTTCGTATAGTCCGTCTTGCTCGGAAAGACATCAGCATTCAGATGCGATATTCTAGGCTTCTTGATTGACCCNAATAATGTACACGATTGCGATGTTCAAAATTTAGTTTTACAAAACAATTATAATTCTACTTACCTGAAGAATTGGTAATTGGTTGTATTTTGGCCGGTGGTAAGATATGCTGTGTCGTACTGTCAGTCTTGCTCGGAACGACACTAGCATTGAGATGCGATATTCTAGTCTTCTTGATTGACCCTACTTCGGAAAAGTATAATGAACTTTATAATGTACACGATTGCGATGTTGAAAATTTAGTTTTATAAAAAAATTTAGCTCCACTCACTTGAATTATTGGTAATGAGTTGTGATTCAGCCGGCGGTAGAATGCGTTGCATAGTAGCAGGCGGATACGTTTTTTCAGTCAAAGTGACAGACGCTACTTCGGAAATATATAATTCGATTTATAATGTACACGATTGCGATGTTGAAGAATTAGCTTTATAAAATAATTATAGTTCTACTTACCCGACGAACTGTTAATTGGTTGTATTTTGGAAGGCGGTAAGATGTGCTGTGTCGTATTGTCAGTCTTGCTCGGAACGACACTAGCATTCAAATGCGATATTCCAATCTTGGTGATTGACCCTACTTGGGAAATGTATAATTAAATTAATAATGTACACGATTGCGATGTTGAAAATTTAGTTTTATTAAAAAATTATAGCTCTACTTACCTGACGAATTGGTAATGGGTTGTGATTCAGTCGGCGGTAGAATGTGTTGCGTAGTAGCAGTCGGATGCGATGTTTTATTTAAAGTGACAGACGCTACTTCGGAAATATATAATTCGATTTATAATGTACACGATTGCGATGTTGAAGAATTAGCTTTATAAAATAATTATAGTTCTACTTACCCGACGAACTGTTAATTGGTTGTATTTTGGAAGGCGGTAAGATGTGCTGTGTCGTATTGTCAGTCTTGCTCGGAACGACACTAGCATTCAAATGCGATATTCCAATCTTGGTGATTGACCCTACTTGGGAAATGTATAGTTAAATTTATAATGTAAACGATTGCGATGTTGAAAATTTAGCTTTATAAAATAATTATAGTTCTACTTACCTGACGAACTGGTAATGGGTTGTGATTCCGCCGGCGGTAGAATGCGTTGCGTAGTAGCAGTCGGATACGTTGTTTCAGTCAATGTGACAGACTCTACTTCGGAAATGTATAATTAGCTTTATAATGTACACGATTGCGATGTTGAAAATTTAGTTTTATAAAACAATTATAACTCTACGCACTTGAAGAATTGGTAGTGGGTTGTAATTTGGCCGGCGATAATATGCGCTGTGGCGTACTGTCAAACTTGCTCGGAACGACAGTAGCATTCTGTTGCGATATTTCAGTCATACTGGTAGGCCCTACTACGGAAAAGTATAATGAACTTTAGAATGTACACGATTTTGATTTTGAAATTTGAGCTTCATAAAATAGTTATAACTATACTCACTTGACGATTTGGTAATGGGTCGTGTTTTGCCCGCCGGTAAGATGCGTTGCGTAGGACTCTCGATCTGGCTCGGTTCGACAGTAGCATTCAGATGCGATGTTCCAATCCTAGTAGTAGATCCTACTTCGGAAAAGTTTATTGAACTTTTGAATGTACACGATTTTGATGTTGAAAGTTTAGCTTTATAAAATAGTTATAACTATACTCACTTGACGCATTGGTAAGGAGTTGTGGTTCGGCCGGCGGTACGTTTTGTTGCGTAGGAGAGCGACCGATTGCATCCAAAAATGAAGTTTCAAGTAGCGTAGCATTCGCTACTTTAGACGTATTAAGAACGGATGTTACTGGTTCTACAATTTGCATGAAGGCTCTGTAATTAAACTTACGAGTTATTGTTAACAGTATACGAATTTCTCATACATTTAAAATTTTAAAAATAATATAATACTATGATTATATCTGTCTTTACATTCCCCGTTAAATTAACGGAAAATGATTTTAAGAAAAAATTCCCCTATATGTATTGTTCAGTACCTATGTATGGTTTTAAAACTGACCCTGCAGGATAAACGAAAGTATTTTTATTTTTACACATGTACTCATTATATACGCTATATCGCAGTACAGTGAAACTTTAAATAATTACAATTTTGATTCGTTAGAGGATTTAAAAAAAAAAGTTTTCTTTTTAAAATAACAAAGTTTTGACGTATAACCAACAGAAATCTGCAAAAAAACGATAAAATTGCAATTTTCATATTTTAAAAATAAATATCGTCTGTAATCCCTGTATTTACTATATAGGAGTTTAATTTTTATTGGGCTGTACGGATGAAGAATCGTAGAATCGTAGTGTGTTATCGTTGTTGTTCACGAAATTATTTTACAAATTAATGAAAATATGTGTACGTGATGAACCAAAAAACTTCTTACACGTATTGACTAATGTTCACGAAATTCATGAAGTGGATTGATATTTGTTCAATGAATTTATACTAATCGTTTTAAAGACTCGGAAGAAAACGTTAGGGAGTTATTTTTGTACGGTTCTTTAAACTTAAAAAAATATACACAATTGCACGTACTTTATCAAAATGATGACGAATTGCACAATTTCCTCTGCGCTTTCTAAAATCATCAGGACTATCGACATGAACCATAGAACAGCCTTTGCGATACAGTAAACCAAACATACCGTAGGTGACTCCATTGTACGAGTATATACAAGAACAACGTATTCAAATATTCGAAACAAATAAATTGTTGAAAATTTTAATTTAATAATAGAGTTATATTAAGTTATTTAAAGAGAATAGAAAGTTTATTTTAATAATAGAGAGACAAAAGTCTTTAAACTGATTGATGTTGTTTAATAAATTCTAATCAAATTAAACTGAAATGCATAATATGAATGAAAACACAAAACAACTTTTCGGAATCGATGTCTAAGGCAAAGTGGCAGAATATCCGTTAGAAAAATTACAAGAGCTAAAAAAAATTGTTGCCAAGTGATAAATAAACTGAAACGTAACATATGATCGACGTAGTGTGCATTTTCTCAGAGTACATTATTGTTACTGCTTATAAGATATAACAATATAATAATGTAATATTCGCTTTCTGAACTCGTATTAAGGGGGAAAGGGAGGGATCGGTTGCGGTGAAGTTCGAGGTGGCGGCTAATTTTGTTTAAAAATTTGTGAATTTTAATTGAGCAAATCAAACTTTTTTTTTGTACGATAATTATATATTTAGGGATTTCATTTTTAATTTTTTGGTACTATAGGTATGTTTATATACAGGAGATTAATTATAATAGTTGCACTTGGAGGTAAAATAAAAAAAAAGAAGAGCGTAATCATACTTATTAATTTTTTTTTTTTTATTTTACCTTAAACGTATTATTTTCATATCTGATTCTGATGAAAACCGTAAATATTACGATCTTTCAAGTATAAGATATAAACGAATCACGTTTAGGTTCGTTTTTCGTAGTATCAGTCCTTTTTTTGCTTTGAGGCATTCTTAGATTTTTACACTTTTCAGGAGTTTTTATATTATAAATAACATTTATCAAATGTAATTTTTAACAATATAAATTTTCATTATCATCGATGTTATTTATGACATTTAATTTTCATTTTACCTGTTACCCACTTTTTTGATGTACATAACGATTTGCCACATAATAATTTTTAAAAAGAAGTCTATAGAAATATGCCACTGTTGTAGGTGGCATCTTGGGAAGGTAGATCCATTAAATTGTTTCCATAAAAAGTGTAAAGTTTATTGTGAAAGAATAGTATATTACGTTTAATTCCAAGTATTTTTGTAGTGTCATCCGTGTAAAAGGGATACATCATCGGGAGAACTACTCACCCTTCGAGGCTATCCACGGATCCACCCAATTTTCGGTATCTATTCATATGACGTAATGCGTTGTTCAGACAGACCATGTACCATAGACTAGGATATGTGATTCGGATGGGATGATTTCTGGGTCCCAATTAAGTACTTTTAAATGGGTTTCGACCAGTGCCGTGACATGAAGACTAGCATTGTCACATAGGAAAATAATCTTGTCACGTCTGGAGTAGTCATCGGCGCGTTTTTTCTTGAGCGCTTTGCTCAATCTCATTAATTGTGTTCGGTAGAGAGCTCTGTTAATGCTTTCGCCCAGTTTAAACAGCTTATAATACACGACACAATGCTAATCACACAGCATAAGTTTTACATGGTTTAACGCTCAAACATCACCGGTCCAAACGTGTACGTTTTGATGTTTGACGTTCGAACGCCTTACCGATCCAAGTTTACACTGGTGCTTGACTGCGGTTAAGTATACGGACGCTAAACTCGGGAGGAAGGGGCGTCGGGTTGGTTGGTTCGTGAGTATAGAAAACTTGAACATTGATAACTATAGAACTACGTGGTAGGATGTGATGCGTTTTTCGAATTTCGTGGGGGTCGAACCCTTAATCTTCAAAGCGTATTATACGTGTCTGAATGTCTGACGATATTATTATTATTATTATTATATTCGTCCGTACTCGGGTACCCGTCATAATTTATAATGTATTATCATTACTATAGTCTGTATAATATGCACGAACCCTCTTGAAATCCCGTAACGGTCATTAACGTTTCTTTTGTTGAAACGCGCGGACGGCGTTTTCTCGTCGGAAAATAAATACTCGTACACATTTGGTACCTATTTATAATAATACGATCGTACGCTGTAAATAATATTCAACGAGTGTTATAATATCGTATTGTATATAAATAATATTATTGTCGGACGCGGTCCGATTAGATTCAATTAACGGAGACCGCGCGCGCGCGCTCGCGCGAGCGGGTTAACCGCGCCGCGTCTTGCATACCGCGGTAACCGCGCTCGACCCGCCGATTACGGTCACGGACGTTTTACACCTCGCGGTCGCTGTTTACAATAATATTCGATCGTGCGTTATAGTATTATTATTATTATTATTATACCCGTGCCGGCGTATATTATAACACCGTACACAATAATAGTATACGCTATGATAATGTACGGCGCGTACCGTCACAAGGCGGGTAGGCAGATAGGCGGCTATGCGTGTAGGTACTAAATAATATCAACTCGCGCGGGCGTCAAAAACAAAAAATTAACGTATCCGCCGAAAGGTTTTATCCGAGCCCGTTCTTTCGGGGCGAGTAGCCGGCACAACAATAATAATAATAATAATAAAAAAAAAATTATTACAACAAATGCATGTATAATATCGCCGCGTTCGGTAATAATAATATTATGGACGGGCACGTTTTATAAACAGCCAGTCACCGCGGCTTGTACGATAATAACATTATCATTGTGTTCGGTAGGTGCCGCTGCAGACAAGGGCTGTAATACGAGAGGTTATTTGTGTTCCTGTTGCGCTCTGTATATTAACGATATCAGTGGCGTTCTTAGCTTTTTCATACGGGGGGGGGGGGCAGGATGAACCGTATTTGGTTTTGCTGATAGTCATATACACAAATTTACAAAATATACTTATTGGTATATACATTGATATTTCAAGAATAGGTAGTCAGGTACGAATTTCAATGTTATTAAGGTTATATATATATATAAGGTCATGTCTGTTGCTGAAACAAATACATTTCTTATTGTCCAAATAGGTTTTTTGGATCATTAAAGAATTGCAGGTTTTCTAAAAACCGTTGTTTGCATATTATTATTATAACATAATAATTTGATATAAATAAATGTATAGTAATTTTTGTACAGCAAATTGTTCGTTAGATCTATCAAATTATTTATTTCAAGAGGACGCTATACCCGCACAAATTGATATTGAAAATTAGTTTTGCGGTAACGCATTTTGACCGAGTTGTAATCATTCTGTTAATTCGAAATTTTTACTCGATACAGTAGAGAATTTTTTCTGAGTTCCAAAATTTGTATTTTTCCTATAAAATTATTTAGAAAAAAGTTATTGTATCTCAAACTTCCATATGTGTGTTTTCAAATGTTTGTTAATCAAAATTAAGTCGAAATTCGAAAAAAATAAAAATGTTAGAACACAGTTAATATTCTTCTCAATAGAAGCTGAAAATTACATGTATTCGTTTTCATTGTAGTCCCTGTATTTTAAGTCCTCGTAAAAGAGTTTCAAACTATGTTTTATGGCAAATTACTATTGACATGTGCTGCTCCCGTGACTAACTGTAGCATTCGGTTACATCACACTCCCCCTCCCCCCGCTCTAGTAGTTATTACCTACGTCGACGTTCGCGAGCTTCGTATACATCGCGTAAAACTTACTTAGTTAAACGAAGTTTAGGGGATACAACGACTTCCTGTAGATTTTTAAGGGTCGTTTTAGACTGAAATCATACCACAATTTTTTTTAAATTTTTCAATCAGTTTTTTATGTTTAGTGTATACAAATTCAATTCAACTAAGTATGACCTATACAATGTAATATTATTAACGCTCGTAAACAATTCTGGAAACCACGACGTTATTTCGGATAATTTATAAAAAAAAAAAAAAACAATAACCGAGATCTGCTGCTTACGGGTGGTGTTTTTTTTGATGAAGGGTTACATTAATAGAATTTATCCGGCCAAGTCCGCCTAAATCAAATCTAGTCCCAAATATTAAATGTTGTAATTATTACTATTTTTTTTTTTTTTTTATTGGACTTTTAAAACGAACGGTTCGTATACACAATTTTCGGTTTTCGTCTCGTCTTTGCTGCAGGTGGGTTTATTATAATTATCCACTGTGCTCCCGTCTCGTCTCGAACACGATTATAATATTATTATTATTATTATTACACTGTCGGTGTTGTTGAAAAATAGTATACTGCTCGTATTGTGGGA